AGCCAGCAGTTCTATATGGTACAAGTTCCCTGTCAAAACCTCATCTATCGTTTTGGCCCCAATACTGGTTTTGAAACTCTCCTTTTATTATCTTTCCTCCACCAGCACAAATAACAGGTTACACTTTCTGTCATTCCACACTTTGGCTCACCTTGGCCTTCTTGGCCTAGCAGGCCTGGAACATCCAGGAAGAGACTCTCTGCTCCCCTCTAGTGGCCAATTCCGATAGTGCACCTCAGAAATGTTTATAAAAATACAGAATGTTTTTTTTTTCTCTCCCAAAATATGTTTCTTGAAAATTTACAAGGAAATAGAAGGTGGAACCGAAGAATACTTTCTGGGCCACTGGGGAGTCATAAGAAGATGCCACCATGAGTCCTTTATTAAGAGAAGGCCTTTCAAATAGCAGGAAGTGGCAACGAGGAGGGGGGAAATTATCACAAAGAAGAAGCAGACGCAGGATGGCCATTGCTGCCCCCCAGAATCTGACACCTGAGGCCTTTCCTCCACTCTGCTTTGGGATAGGGCCAGCCCAAAAAATGACAGCAATGTGGAATTAATCTTAGTTTCTAAACCGTGGCTTCAGACTCATTTCTTTGCTCAAGCTTCCTTGCTTTTGTTCCCTAACCCTCTCTCTGCAGAGGGTGAGACCTGCAGAGCGCTGGGTTATGTTATTTTATATTTTAATTTTTATGAGTCATGGGATGATCTTGGCTGGCAGGCAGGCTGGCTGGAATTCACTCCCCCCCTCCATCCCGCAGCCCTCTGCAGCAATCTTGAAGGAAGGAAGCAAAACTGCCAGGTTTTCTATGGAGGCTGGACAGGGAACATGAAGGTGGTGGAAATATTTTTGTGAAAACAAGCGTGGGGGGGGGGGCTTAAAGGCAACCGGGTCCATGTCTGTCCAGGATGACAGTCATCAGACCACTCATTTCGACCTGTGCTGTAGAGATGGCCAATTTTCTCTTGTTCTTTTATTGATGAGCTATTCAGTTATCTAGAATTCCCACTGAATAATATCTTTTTTTAAAAAAAAAACCCATTGAGTCACACTTGATGGCCCATGTTCCTGTTTCCAACAAATCACAGTTTGAGAGCTTCCAGAGTCACCCCAAACAAGGATAAAACCACACTCCAGGGTGGCAGCAAGAACAGCCCTGCGAAGCGGGCCAGGCAGAGTCGCAGAAGGCAAGATCCGCTGTCCAAAGGCATTCTAGTTCACAAGTCGATCTTTGCCGGGGTGAGGAATTAACGGCACAGGACACGGTCTCAAGGAATAGCCGCGGGGAGCTTCTGAGACGGCACTGGCAGAAAAAGCCACGTCCGCTCCCATTTGTATGCCGACCGGCGCGCTCAAATTGATTCTGCCCCTAATCCAGTTGGCGGCCTCGGCTTTAAGGACTCCGATCGGCGGATTTCTAAAGCTTGCCATTTAAATAAAATATGGGGTGTTTACTCATCTGCGTCGGCCCTCCGGGGCACAGGGCTGAGTTTAAAGAAGACGGAGGCTGGCTGGCTGGCTGGCATGGTTCTGCATTCAAAAAAAATTAAAATAAAATACTTGTCTGGGTTCTTTTAAACCTCGAGCTACAATGTACATTTGATTTCTTTTTGATGGGCCAGATACGCTCACCCGCATGCTCAGACACCCCTCCCGTCTGTCACTAACCCTGGAACGCATCGTCAAGGGTAGCTGGTCAAAGCACCGCTTTCTAGGTGGTGTTGAATCATAAAGCCCGTCTGCTGTAGCCAGCTCGGCCCCAAGAGGGGCGTGATCAGAGATGTCAACCGACCACATCCACACCCTGAGAAAGAAGCTAGATGTGGCTGTGTTACTGACTTCTGGAAATCTACGCTCAATCCACAAGGCGTCCCTGGCTTACCATACTCTCAAAGGTTTGCTGATAGCAAGGTTGAACTTTTCTGCATGGAAGATCTCTTTCCTTTCTTGTTCTTATATCCATGGACTCGGAAGTCTGTAGTTCAGGACACGCAGAACAAATCTCATTGCTAATCCCAATGAAGTTAGTCTCGTTGAATCACTTCTTTAGAAAAACCCCAAAACAGATCTTTCTAGGTACAAAACAGGACAAGAGGAGAATTATCTACAAAACCGGGAAAATATTTTTTTTTTCCAATTATGGGCTGAAAGAGATTTTCTGGAAACCTTTCAGCCCGTACATTCATGGTTTCCTGTCTCTTCTTTAGCCCCGTACCTTTGTATCAAACTGTACTTGATCTGTCCATGGCCCTAACCCTAAAACAGATCCCATACTTATTATTATTTATTTATTTTATTTATATCCCGCCTGTCTAGTCAATTAAGACCACTCTAGGTGTTGGATGACTGTGATTCTGTGCCACTTCTGAGATATGATGACCCTAATTTGGGCTTCCAAGTTACGGAAGATGTTCAAAGAGGGCTTTCCCGCTGCCATACACCCCGAGCAAGGATTCGAACCCAGGACTCCACAGGCCTAATTTGATGCTCTATCCACTGTACCCCACTAATTTGTGATCAAAAGTGTTTCCCCAGCATTAAAGCCATGCCATTCAAAGGCTAACATTTAACTGCCCAGCTGTACAGAACAGAGGAGACCAGCCCCTTGGGAATAGTCTCTAAGCAATGCGGCTTTTCCCCCCTCGCCCCATCAGCTGTTAATTATTTGTGCCATAAAACAGATCTCATCCTCTTCCTGCAGCGGCCTTTCTTCAAGAGTCAAATTTTGCATTTCAATAGGGGAAAAGGCAGACATTCAAACATGCGAAAATGTCATGTTGTTTATATTTTGTTTTTATTTTTAAATCCCTTTCTCATGGGCGGGGCAGGGTGAGTGAAAAAGAGGAGATCTGGACAATATCAAGGTCCGGCGCTGTCTTTTCTGTAAAGGTGAAACCAGAGAAGATGCGCCGTTTAAAATTCTGGGATGGGCTAGAATCCTTTGGGGGACTTAGATGGGCTCAAGGGCAGTCATGTAAATAACAAGAGTGAGTTGAGACCCATCAAGCTGATGTTGGTTTGTATCCCTTGTCTTGTGGCTGGCAGGTGTCGAAGCATACGAGCAGTCCTGTGTTACATATGGGGGTAATGTACTGCTTTGGTTTACATTACACCATTGCAGTTATACTGGTGTGGGGAAAGTTGGGGGACTTAGATGGGCTCAAGGGCAGTCATGTAAATAACAAGAGTGAGTTGAGACCCATCAAGCTGATGTTGGTTTGTATCCCTTGTCTTGTGGCTGGCAGGTGTCGAAGCATACGAGCAGTCCTGTGTTACATATGGGGGTAATGTACTGCTTTGGTTTACATTACACCATTGCAGTTATACTGGTGTGGGGAAAGTATAGGATTCTGGCCACCGTATCCTAGGGTGCTTGCCCCGTGTGGAAAATCCCACGGGTGTGCCCAAGGTTGGGGACCACTGGTTTACACCGTTGCAGTTATACTGGTATGGAGAAAGAATAGGATTCTGGCCACCGTATCCTAGGGTGCTTGCCCCGTTTGGAAAATCCCACGGGTGTGGTCAAGTGGGATAATCCTATGTGTTTGTTTCTGACCTCTGTTACGAGTTGGATGACAGCGACCTACTATGACACCCCAAATTTTAGATGGGGCCAGAGGTGACCCCAGTGGTCATTCTTGGCCTATGGGGTGCAGGCCGTGTAAGGAAATGTAAATACTAACTCAATCACCGGATATTTCAGAGGATGCTTAAACTCAGTGTTTCCCAACCCGGGTAATACAGATGTTCCCGGTCAACACAACTGGTCCTGAAGGATTCTGATAATTTTAGACCAAGAACATCTGGGGACCCAAGGCTGGAAACACTGGGATTTATTTCGGTCCAGTGAGTAAGGTCAATGATGCCGAAGTCCGTGGAGGGGCAAAGCTAATTTCAAGCTTGAACAAGAAAAGGGATAGATGGGGAAATGCCTCCTTTAATGCACACCTGCAGAATTCTTGGAGAATTGCCCCGAACGCCGAACAGCCCCTGAACTCTGGTGGCTTTTGAAAGCTGCTCGCAGGAGTCCCCAGGTAGCTTGCCTTTGAAGGTCTCCAGCTGTGGAGAGCCAGATGTACACCACTTTGAACTCTGTGGCTGCCAAGGGGGGCATTAGAGATGTCAGTAGATGCAGGGTGCGATTTTTCAACCAGAGAGCAAACATATCACTGACATGAAAGCTCTCTCTCTCTCAATTTCTCTCCACAGCACAATGGAGAGGCAGAAACCTGAGCTAGTTTCCCAGCACCAAGCTGGGACTTTTGGATTTGTCAAGATATGGTTGGGAAGGTCTTCCTTTCCTCTGGGAGACCCTCTCACTTGAATGGATAGGGACCCAGCTTCCATTTGGTCGGGAATGGGACACAGCAGAAATAGGTGGAGAGGCGGGTGTGTAGGATGAGGTAGTGGGTGTGTGTCCAGAGAAGGTAGGCAGGAAAGAAGAGGCTGATGATAAACAGAAAGGAGGGAGGGAAGGAGGCTAATGACGGAAGGAAGGAAGGAAGGAAGGAAGGAAGGAAGGAAGGAAGGAAGGAAGGAAGGAAGGCTAATGATGGGAGGAAGGGATGAAGAAACTAAGGAAGGGAGGGAGGATCTGATGGATGGATGGATGGATGGATGGATGGATGGATGGATGGATGGATGGATGGATGGATGGATGGATGGATGGATGGATGGATGGATGGATGGATGCTGATGATGAATAGAAGGGAAGAAAGGAGTACCTGATCTTAGTTGGGCTTGTAGCTGAGAAGGAATGGTCTGACAGATAGAAGCATTCTGGGGAAACAGTTTTGATTTTGGAAAATCTTTTCTTACTCTGTCCCCCCTCAAACTTTCAGTAGGAAAAAAAATTCCAGGCCTGAAGTCGAATGAAACCTGGATCATGGCCTGGTGTTTCAAATACAAACTGCAATGATCTCCCCCCCTCAAAAAAAAAACCCACCATGTCATGTGCCTTTAGGTGTTTGTGTGTGTGTTTTTTAAATTCTCTTTCCAGATTAAGGATGGTCCATGTAATGGGGGAAATCAGCTGCTGGATGTTCCTGGGGTCCCTTCTCCTGCCTGTCTCAGTTCTTCTAGGTAAGTGAGGGAAGGGAATTGATCAGAACCGCCCTGTGATTTTTTAAATCATGTGCTTTTGAAAGGGCTCTTTTTAAAAAAATCAAGCCGTGTTTTAAGGTTGTCGTTTGCCGGATTGTGCTTTCACGTAATGGCTGTTGATTTTATTTTATTTTTTTTTAAAAAAACTGTATTTCTCTTTTCATCTTGTTGAAAGCCACTTGCTTGTTTTGAAAGGGGAAATTGGCATAGTCTCAGGTCAGACACACACATATACAATGGTATCTGGGGCAGATGTTGGCGAATAAGCAAGGTTTAATGTGGAGAAATAACCTCTCAAGATGCAGGGAAGCCTCGAAATGCAAGCAGCTTTTAAAGAAAAGAAAAGAAAATGATACATTAATAGAGGAGAAACAGATTCAGGGATAATCATCAACTCTGCAGATGCCGAAGGGGCCAATACTTCAGAGGACCAAAATCGGGACCCACGGTGGCCTTAATAAAATGGGAGTCCAAACAAAGTGAATTTCCACAGGTGTGGTGGCGCTGTGGGCTAAACTGCAGGAGCCTGTGCTGCAGGGTCAGAAGATCCGGCAGTCGTAAGATCGAATCCACGCGACGGAGTGAGTGCCCATTGCTTGTCCCAGCTCCCGCCAACCTAGCGGTTCAAAAGCATGCAAATGTGAGTAGATAAATAGGGACCACCTTGGTGGGAAGGTAACAGCATTCCGTGTCTAAGTCGCACTGGCCATGTGACCACGGAAGATTGTCTTCGGACAAAACGCTGACTCTATGGCTTGGAAACGGGGATGAGCACCGCCCCCTAGAGTCGGACACGACTGGACAAAAATTGTCAAGGGGAACCTTTACCTTTACCTTTTTACCAAACAAAGTGAATTTCCACGGTGATGCATGTAAAACGCTTTATTTAGACAGGAAAAAAGGACTCTGTGGCCCCAACTGCTATTGGAATTCCTTTTTTTCCAAACAATTGAGGCATTTCCCTGACTGGCAGGGGAAAAACGAGGTCGGGCCATACATGGCCGCGTCTCCTCCAGAATTTTGATCACCGACCTGTATCTTTTCTCCACTCTGCCTTTTTTTCCACCACAGATATCAACCAGTGGATAACGGTGCACTCCTGTTTGATTCTGGTTTTGTAAAGAAGAATGGGAACGGCCCGAGAGGGGTCCTAGGGGTGGGTGGGAGAATGGTGTGCTCCTTACTGCACCAGCGGTGGTTGAAATCCTGGTATAAATCACCTCTTAACATCAGCCCTTTGCATATTTGCAAGTCCCCGAGCCTGAGTCTTTCGTACCAAGTCTCGAGTTCAAGTCTGAATCTTGGGTCCTAAGTCCTGAGTTCGATTTTGAGTCTTCGGTTCCAAGTCCTTTGATCCGAAGTCTGAATCCCTACTAAAAATGAGCTTTTTTTCCAAGAAAAAAAAAGGGAGTGGGTGAGCGGGTTTCAAGTCACAAGTAGACTCTGAGTCACTGGGGGGGGGACACAAATTGAGTCACCAACGTGACTTAAGTCTGATTTGACAACGGGTCCCATGACTTTAGTCTCCACCCCTGCCTATTTGACGTCTGTAGGTTGTGTCTGTTTTTTGTTAACATCCTAACGTAGGATCTTAGTGTAGCACAGGCTAAATCCATCATCAGCCACGAGCCGTGTAAACAAACCAGCGGCAAATCAGCCCGCAAGCCACCGGCAGCAAATAATGGACAAGCAATTAACTATTAATGGTAACGAGGAAGCAGGCATGAATAAGGAATGAAGGAATGACAAAGAGGAAGCCACCCGATATAGGATGTCCCCCCGGGTGCCCCCCACTTTTGGCGGTTTGATGCCCAATGTCCCCAATTTCATATTCCTTTTATTTATT